AATGGGGTGGACCGTGCTGCGGGGGAATGTGTTCGGTGCTAGCCGGTCGTGGCTTCGTTGGTGGCGGACTCTCCTCTCGTCACTCGCACGTCGATCGAGTCTACTGTTTGTTTGACATTAAGCTCAAATAAACGCCGTATGGATTACCTCTGCATCGTCTGGTACGTACATTTTATTCCTTGATTAGGTTCCCTTTATTTATCTTGTTGGTAGTAAACGTCACAGGTCGAGCTAGCGCAGGTACCCTGCCCGCTCCGCGGTAGTACGTTGGCTACACACTAAACATCGTAACACCCTTGTGGGTGTAAATGGCTTGTCCTATAAGTAACACCCATTTGGGTGAAGCAAAGCACCCTAAAAAAGGGCATTATTCATAACACCCCTAGAGTAGGGTGTTTTTTTTCCTAACACCCTTAGAGGACGGCATTATTCCGAACACCCTTAAATTAGGGTGTGATTCCACTGTACACCTTTTTATTAGGGCATTATGACCGCGCAGTACGCCCTCTAAATTGGGTGTATCAGCGCCAGAAAGGGAAATAAAAAAAGGCGCGATTACCAACACCCATGTGTTCACACAGGAAAGGCCTTGTGTTTGTTTACTTTGAGGACGTGAACTATTTCTGTGAATTTTATGCCACCTGGTTGGGCCGCAAGTGCAATTAACAGTTTGTACAGTTCGGAACAAGCAGTGAAATAAACTCACTGCTTTTTTGTTGTTTTTACGGCTCTCTATACTTTGTAGTGAACGCCGTCCTGGAGGCCGACAGGCGTCCAAGCGACCTTCCAAGAAGCCAGCAGACGTGGGAAAACGTCCAGGCATTTCTACGTTCCAAGAACCCATTGGGCTCCCGAAAGCCCAAGGACAAGCGGCGGCGGCGAGACGAGAGTGCTGGTCAGCGACCTTTCAAGAGGCCCGCCGACGTGGGAAGAAGACCAACCACTCGGCCTTCCAGGAATCCCACAGTGGCCCACGAGGTCAATGCATCCTTTCCCGAACTTCCCAGGTGGACCCCTCCAGTCGGGCGCCCCACACCCAATTACCTTCCCTTCGGAAGAGGAAGCCGCTGCAATCATGGATGTGCGCCGCGCCAACCCCGCCGACCCCTCGGGGGACAAGCGGACACGGCTTTGGGACAGCTAATCTGCATGGTGTTGGTGGTGTGTGGGCGGAGACGGGGGTGTGTCGCTGTGTGTGAGGGAGGGGCTGACATGGCTAGCCGAAATCCCTACGTGGGGAATGTAGGGAAGAGCGTCCCGTTAAAAGAAGCGGACTTCTTCGGGACCCCGGTCTTCTGATGCTGTTTTTCGACCCTGTACAAATGTAAAGGAAACCCGTTGTCAAAAGAGGCCCTGCTTCCGAGCTCCTTCTGCCTGATGACCTGGTCGGCCACACATGGCTCCAGCGGAGATCGACTACATGGACAAGCCCCGAGTCTTTACAACTTGCTCAACTTTTCTCAAGGGACAGAACGGGAATGCAGCTGCAGTAAAGCATTCTACAGTTGGTGACAAGTGATGGGAACAACACGTCATACGATTGTTGTCGCCACCAATCATCACCATTGTGTCTTTAGAGGGAGCGCACATGAAAAGAGACCAAGACTGAACAAAAGCATGTGCTGCGTGGTGTTGAACGTGCCCCATGATGTTCTACATATTTTACTTTCTTTCCTTACATCCTTTTTTCTATTTAAACATATTTTCTCAGCGTTAAATTCAGAAGTGGAATGAGCTGCTCCTCATTCTTGCATCACGGTGAGTGAGCAAGCTAGACTTTGTGACTCTCCAACACCAGCGTTGCGGGCCTTGTATAGGAACGAGATCCAGATATTGCGACAAGGCAAGTCAACCTCGCTTTGATACCCATGATTTTCCTGACTGTAATTTATGAAACTCGACACTTGATTTGAAGGCCAATGTGAAGGTATTAGTTCCTGTGTATGATTTTTTTGTTTTTATATAATGGCACATAATGGCATAAAATTATCTGGAGAACTTAATTTTAGTTTATTTAAGTAGATGCAAGTTTGGATAGATTAAATATACGTTCATAAACTGGGTTTCGTGTGTTACTTACCTATGCCCATGCGAAGGTTACATATTCGGGTGAAGGAAACGCTTCTCAAATTCTGTGAAGCACAGATGCCAGCAGCCTCTGACGATTCCCTAGGCCCAACCAACCCCACACCCACCATACAAAGATTCGATAGGCTGTGTAGCGTAGCTTTCTGAAAAAAGGCAAGGAGAAGATCAGCGAGTTCAGAACTTGTTCAACTTGCTTTCACACGAGCATTTACCATTGCACTTGATGTTCTCTCTATGTCTGCCTCACTGCACACACATGACACTAATATGTGAATGCAAGATCGTCCAATAGTTACAATGTGAGGCTTATAAAGGAAAAACATGCAAGAGCCAATCCTGCATTCACGCTGTTTTACAAAATGCAAGCGTAGCTGGAGCAACAAGGGCAAGCTCCGATTGTACCTGGTGCGCACGCGTGCTCCGGCAGTGCGAGCGCCGTCAGGTCAGCATTCAAACGCTTCGGCTTTGCTCGCACTTACAAGCACTCCACGTTATACGTGGCATGTGAATATCCCAGGCGAATAGTCCTAGCTTTGAAAAACGGCTTGGGATGTACGAACGCTCGTGGACTTGGGAACCCTCAAAAGTCCTGAACCCACGCTGGTCAGTTCGACAGGCCGCTCTGGAGGTGAGGCGGAGTGGAGACTGGCCCTATACCTGTTCTGGTCGGTGCACTCGAAGTATGTTGGGTTGCAGTACTGCACATGGCGTGCATGCACTGCTAGCAGGTCCCCGTGGAGGCATAGCAGCGCTAACAATTCGTGCTGCGTGATGCAGGCATTGCCATTGGTGCGAAACGGAGCCGTTGCCGCTACCCCCATGCACCAAAGGTCCTCATTCTGCCCTGCGGGTCGACATTCGCCGCAACAGCACCTACGCACGTACGCGTGATTAGTACCACGGCATCCTCAGTCAGACATCAGAATAATAAAACAATGGAACAAATTCTTACCAGCCCTCATTCCTGTCGGCGGGCGGGAGGGCCCAGTCCGGGCTACCGGGTTCGCCGTTACGACCAGAAGGCAGCGCCGGAGGACCAAAAGCAAACGGGGCTCGCTCCGGTTGAACTGAGTCCCCAGACTCTACTTCGTCACTGCTGCAGTCAAGCATTTCGAAGCACTGCCACACTGCTTGTGTAGATCACGCTGTGCCAGTCACGTTGATCAGCCCCACACTGCCCGCACGTCGACTGCCTGCCCATGACGTCACGCATGGCTGCCCGAGAAAACGAAACCTCCTGACCGGAAGTCGAGAATGTGGCTTCTGGGTCGTCTTAATTTACACTATTCTAATTAATTACGGTGAATTTCAAGATGCCGAAGACAGTTTCATAAAAGGCAAAGATATAGCTACCAAAAACAACTATTAGCTTATATGACTCCAAAAATCGGTGAAGTACCCCTTTAATTGAAATTGTAGAAACCTCAAACTTAAAAATAATTACCGAGTACAAATAGCAAGTGCAACGAATCCCCGTTTTTCTTTTTTTTTCTGATTTGGAATTTACTGTCACAATATTTGCACATTGATGTGCCTCTCTCTAATCGTCTCGCGTGAGAATTATTTGTGCGCAAACTGTGTCGCAACGTGTACTAAATGTGGCTTTGTTATATTTATATGGGTGGTTTCATTTGAATTCGACCAAGCTTGTCGGGGTCGGTCCTCAGAATTATCTGCCAAAAATATATCTGAAATTCCAATCCCTGCGATGAACAAAACTGCCTTTAAAAAAAATTAGAAATATGTAGTTCGAGAGAAAAAAAATATGGAACGCTGCCGGGTGAAATGCGTGGAAATCGCGATTCCATTTCTGCTCAAGTTTAGACGGTCTTTACAAAATATTGAGTTATCACTTACTCTTAATACTTTTTATACTATAAGTATGCGATGTGTTATATTTTTAGAGGTAAATTATAGTTTTTTACCATTTTTAGTTATTTTTACATAAAATCGCAAACATGCCACCCAGAGCAATTTCGACTAACATTGGGATAGCTATATCAAACGAACGGTATGAAGCTATGTCATGAGACATATATCAATACGTAGCTATTTAAATAACCTATCGATTGGTATGTGTTTCTTGTTTATCGATTTTATTGAACACTATTGATTTCACCCCAAATATGTACAAAAATTGAAAATATACAAATTTCGAAATACATTTTTTCAAAAAGGCCATTTTTTATTTTCTTCTAACTTCTCTACTTCATAGCCCATAAGGTGTAGAAATAGTGTATATAAGTCTTGGGTGTAATATTTTTGTTGTATTTTGGTGAGAACCAGTTAAATAAGCCAATTTTAAGCCTGTCACTCAATCCTTAGTTCATCTATTCTGGCTTCACCACAATGGTACTGGCGGCCTCAATAATAACGATCGGTTTTAGAAGCCAGTTCATCATGATCAGTTTGCCATTATATATGCTCATGACGACTCCTGGAACATCTGACATACGTTACGGAGGGCAAAACCTACCATTCACGTTAACAGTAATGCCACCTTCAGTCTATTTGTGAGACGAGCTGACATGTCCAAAGCTCTGGTAGGTGAACGTTCTCATCTTTAAAATTTCTCACGCACAGTGTGACATAAATAAGTGTAATTTCATTATAAACACCAAACAATCACTCATGAAGCAGCTCAGTACCTATCTTCTGTGATCATGGAAATTGTTTTCCGCTGATGAACGCGTGGACATTTTTTTGCACAAACTTGAACTGTTTGAGCTATGTAGATAGTTTTATTTTGCTTATAAGCTTACACACGTAATACAAAGTACAGCTCACAAAATGAAAAACAAAAACGCTGGTATCACGACACAAAAAGGCACTCGATTTAACTACTAATGTATTCACGTTAATAAAATACAAGGTGCACAACACTCCCCCGTCTATACATGCAGAAGCTTTTACGAAACGTCTGGAATTTGCCTACACAGTTAACAAAGTCACACATTTTGAAACAACATGTAGGCACTAAAATACCGATTATGCAGTTCGCTGAAGACGGACTTCCCCTTTTTCAAGTCGCCACACGTGTGAGAGGCGGATGCCTTTTTGAACCGGTATGGATCCCCATTCGGCTCTCTTGGTTTTGCGGAAATCACTCACGTCGTCTTGCTTTAAATTTAGGAGAGTCACACTTTTTACACACTTTCCCACCTTGTGCACAAAGTCCGTTGATTTCTGTATGGCCTCATCCACAGGCGAACGGAGGTTGTGCACCGTCGCCTGATGCTTCAGTAGCCCCCCTACTCCATCACAGGCGCTCTTGCCGTGTCCTGAGGCAGAAAAAACCCACTTCACCTTCGGAAGACCGGCTCGTTGGAACTCGTAGAGCTGAAATCTATTCTTAAAGTGAGCTGGTGCACCGTCAGATATATACGTTAATGACGTATAAACTGGAATGTTGTTCTCCAGCCAGTCCTCAATGCACCTTAGAGCGAGTACTGCGTGGGCAGTGTCATGGCACAGGTCTTCACACACGACACCGAAACATTTGGGACCTTGCGATGTCGACGCAACACATGTGAACACGGAGATTTGGCGCTTGTGCCAGTGATGCTCTTGTATTTCGTGTGGCAGGGTCACCGTCCAGTTTTCCGCAAAATCAAAGTTCATGACAATATGCCTTGTGGTCACCTTGCTCTTCTCAATCCGAACAGCTTCCCGTTGACTTCTACGGATGAAGTCGTGAGTAGAAAACCTTGTGGCCCATTTTTGCATCTCTTTCAAAAAGGCGTTCGAGTCCGCAGTCTTATTCACCAAATTGCCATTCTCCCACGTGCAAAATCTAATCTCCTCATCTGGAACCAATTGTAATTCTTGTAAGGAGAGTCGATCAATGCTAGGGCATTTCTTGCATTCGCCCCGTAAACAATTGGGCGTTGAGTCTGGGCAAAGGCACAGAGCGACAATATCCTCAGCCGTTATTTTTTCTTCCCGTACGCTGTTGAGGGCAGATAAGCACAAATCAAAATTTGTGCAGCACACGCATGCACACACGGTTTGGTCAGGGTTCAGCTTAACCCATTTTGGTCGCAGCGAATAAAATTTGGTCAATCCTAATTTGGAGTCCGGGTTAGCTTTCTTAAACAGCTTGTAGGCTTCTCTTATGGACCTGGTCATGTAGCGCTTGACAACGGCTTGTTGTTCCCCATCCTTCATAATGTTTACAACGTCCTTTTTGTTGGGGCTCTGCCGGGAACAGTCGAAATCATCGTCGGTGTAAAACCGCGTGGCTGACTGCACGATGTCCTCGCCTATCTTAGCGCCTTGGTATGGCTCGAGACGATCCCATACGCCAAAACGTTCACGAAGTCGCTTGGCCTTTTTTAGTATGTAGCTCGACGCCTCCGGGATTAAACGTGCGACCTCGTTAACAGTTAAACTTGCAGGCACAAGCGTGAGCAACTGGCATCTCTCCTGGTAAGACGGTGTCTTGACAAAGGCTTCTCTGAGGTTTGCCCACCACTCGTCACAGTTAAGGCAGGAAGATTCAGTCCCAGAGTTTGACTCACTCGTTTCCAGGCTATATGCTGTAGCCAACTTTTTACGTACTTGTCTGCTGTACGACACTTCCATTTCCCGCTGTTTTCTTGCCGCATAGGAGTGACGGCTCTTCGGGTTTACGACAGACGGCATGCGCAAGGGAGTTGTCTCAAGCCCTTTAGCAGATATTTCTTCGTTAATGTCATCTACTACTTCATGTTCTTCAATGAAGCTTGCCGGAGAGCTTGAAGATGGGTCACACACCGTACAGGCTGAAAGTTGCTCACCGGTGCGTCGAAAACAGTTCTGACAGAGCATATCCGTCGACAGAACAGTAGCAGCTTTGGCTGGAGACAGAATTCTTTTCAATGCTTCTACGTTGAGGTCGGTTACGGGTCGAAAATGTCGGTTGCGGTATATCACTCGCTTATGTCTCTCAAAGTAGTCGGCACAGGACTTCCTTTTGACGCTGAAAACTGCAGCCATGACTGAAACGTGGACGTGAGAAATACGAGTGGCCACCTAATTCTACGTTCAAACCCGTGTGTTATTTCTTGCCGCGATCTTTTGCTTGTTTATTATTTCTCTCTTTCTGCTTTTATCTTCTTGTTTTAGTTTTGACGACTGTGTGAATATAATCACTGAAAACCATCACCGAGAAAGAGCGCGCTGTATGTCTTTTCATTTAAAGGGGAGGGAAGTAATAAATAGCGAAAAACGACGATAATAAAATCGGGGGATAAATGAGGACTGCAAACTTTAGGAAACACGTACAAAATCAAATAGACGAACTTAAAAGAGATAGACGCCGACAGAGAGTTCCTCTTTGGTGTGGTGCTTGCGTGCCCAAGACTGGTCTTGCTGGCAACTGCCAAAAATCCCATTGATCATAACTAAGATGCGTTGCGACCCCTGCGTAAACAAAGTTCCGCGCGTTCAGGAGACCGGCATGATAAAGTCAAAACTCTACACTGTTCGTTTCCTCCCCTAGATAACCTTGACTAGACGGAGACAGACAAGTTTGCGCAGTGAGGTCCTTTGGTCAGAGAAGGATAGTTGGGGACAGGGAACCGGTCCGATAAACAGCCTCGGTCGGGAGCACGAGGTCAGCAAAGCTTATCGTAGGTCAACGGGGTCAACTAAGGTTATCAATGATTGTCTCAAATGTATCGTCTGAGACAATCATTGCTCTCCCTCGTGCTGATCAAAAGGGACCCGCGTTTGAGTCAGTTCGATGAAGAACAGAGTGCTACTTACGTTAGCACCCCGTTTGATGCAAGAAAAAAAACTGTTTGTTTTATTATTTTTATTTTGAAGAGGAGTCGTCTTCAAGTTCTACGTGGCTGTCAGAAATATTTTGTTCGTGATTTCTTAAACTACGTAAACAAATTACAACCAGATGTCCAACTCTCTTGGTGAAACGCCGGCTGCCGCTTTCGGGAGCTCTACGTTCTTAATTCCTACCAATTTCGCTCCTGTTCGTGTTTCAAAGTAAAGGAAATGACAAGAAGCTTCCTTTAGCCGTGAAATTTGAAGGCGAAATTACAAAGCAATAAGAACATTTTAATCATTGCTCTTTCTATAGCTATAACGGCTTTTGCAATAATAGTAAGGGGTTTCATTTCTCTCACAAACCGGGCTATCGTATGTAACATATAGGTTGCATATTCAAGTTCACTTAACCGCACTCTGCTTCAGCGATTTAATCGGTAAGAACACTCGCCCGCCAAATCTCAAAATATAATGTCTAGCTTGTCCCGCTCTCAGACCGCAGGTGGCATTACTGTTAACGTGAATGGTAGGTTTTGCCCTCCCTAACGTATGTCAGATGTTCCAGGAGTCGTCATGAGCATATATAATGGCAAACTGATCATGATGGACTGGCTTCTAAAACCGATTGTTATTATTGAGGCCGCCAGTACCATTGTGGTGAAGCCAGAATAGATGAACCAAGGATTGAGTGACAGGCTTAAAATTGGCTTATTTAACTGGTTGTCACCAAAATACAACAAAAATATTACACCCAAGACTTATATACACTATTTCTACACCTTATGGGCTATGAAGTAGAGAAGTTAGAAGAAAATAAAAAATGGCCTTTTTGAAAAAATGTATTTCGAAATTTGTATATTTTCAATTTTTGTACATATTTGGGGTGAAATCAATAGTGTTCAATAAAATCGATAAACAAGAAACACATACCAATCGATAGGTTATTTAAATAGCTACGTATTGATATATGTCTCATGACATAGCTTCATACCGTTCGTTTGATATAGCTATCCCAATGTTAGTCGAAATTGCTCTGGGTGGCATGTTTGCGATTTTATGTAAAAATAACTAAAAATGGTAAAAAACTATAATTTACCTCTAAAAATATAACACATCGCATACTTATAGTATAAAAAGTATTAGGAGTAAGTGATAACTCAATATTTTGTAAAGACCGTCTAAACTTGAGCAGAAATGGAATCGCGATTTCCACGCATTTCACCCGGCAGCGTTCCATATTTTTTTTCTCTCGAACTACATATTTCTAATTTTTTTGAAAGGCAGTTTTGTTCATCGCAGGGATTGGGATTTCACATATATTTTTGACAGATAATTCTGAGGACCGACCCCGACAAGCTTGGTCGAATTCAAATGAAACCACCCATATATATTCGTGTTGGAGAGTCTACCACAAAGCTAAGCGAGCTCTGTGCCCAGTCTTGCTGTACACAGTGGCGTCAGAACCCCCCCCCAACCCCTTCATAGCGTCTTCCTTCCATTTCCAAGCAACGATTACCAGTTGGGTGGACGACACCAAGCTGTGGCCGGATATTGGAGAACCTCACAATATCTGCTATCCTCTGGAGACAAAGGTATGCGACCTCAAGGAAGCGAAAGCATATAAAAGCCTTAAGTCGTATAACTATTTGCAAAGTGGATGGGTAGGACAAGTCCTTGCTCCCAAAATAGGTGATGTCATATTTTTGAAGGCCCCAGTGAGGCCATCTCAAGCTGTGAACTAGAAGCCTCGTGCGGCATTGTGATGTTATAGGTTCAGGTCAAACCGCCGAAGGAAGAATTCAGTCACACCGTAAGCTTTGATCAAGATATATATATATATATAAATAAAAAGAAGAAAAATAAGGAACATTCTAGTTATACACATATGTACAAGTCAGAAGCTGTCTCACTTTTGGTCTGTCCTCGTGTGGCTGAGGGTCTTGGTGCTGTCTGGTTTCCAGTGGAGCTTGGTTGTTGGTGAGTGATGTTCCTTAAGTGTTCCTTGGTGCTGGTCTGGGAAGCTCTGCTCCGGGACACCGCCGAAGTCGTTGATCGTCCCCACCAGTAGCTACTTCGGGTCGTTGCCGAATGCCTCGTTCATGCAGGATGTTGACGCATTGGTTGCACACCACCAAGCTGATGTTTCACCCGACAGGAGCACCCATGGGATGTCGCCGGGCGTGCTTTCACCTGGACAGGTTATGGCCGAACAAAACCCTTCTTCCTTTTCTTGCCGCCCACTTCTCCTCGGACATGCTTCCTCAACGTTTCCCTTTTCTGCTCTATTTCTTTTTTGTAGCACGACAGGCATGGATATGTGCAAAACAGTCTGGAGAAGTGATGACTGCAGCCTGCACATGTATGGCCGGCGAAGCACGTGTGTGTAGCTGCGCAGGCGCCATCATGTGGAAAGTAAACATGGCGGTGAAGTCAAGTCTCACAGGACAATCCTGCACAGATGAGGCTGCATCTTGGAATAGTGAGACGAGAAATGTAGAATTGGTTATGATGACACAAGTGAACTTCAAGATGCAGAAGTCTGCTGTCGATGCAGACATTCCACCACCAAGGAAGCAACCCTTGCAGCAATTCATGACAGACAAGGAGCATCAGGACTACCACCGACAAGTCACCTTACCTTCATCTCTTCAACATCCCAGGTAATTCCACCTTTCTGGCTAAGGCACTGATCAACAGAGAAGCCATTTTGCATACCCCATTTTGATTATAAAGTCAAAACGGGCCATGGTATGATTCAGAGGTGGCCAGGCTGACCCGGCCTAAGAGCCGCAAACAAAATCACAAAACTTCCAAGAGCCGCGGGTTGGGGGGGGGGGGGGGGGGGAGGGGGCAAACTTCTGTCCAGAGCAATTAAGAGAACTCAAAGTACTTTCAATCTAACCCCGTCCAAAGCAGTCCAACTGCGCGTAAGGTAGCTGTAGCATAACGCTACCAAACTGCAACCTGTCTAACAATTTTAAACATGTTCCATTTCTCTTTTAGGGGAAGTGCGGGGGGGGGGGGGGGGGGGTAGAGGAGGGAGCCCCGAGCCGCACTTTAAACGTGAAGAGCTGCAGCTTGGCCACCCCTGGTATAATTGATTATGATAGAAAGCGAACGCTGTCATGCTATGTTAGAGTAGATAACCAGTTGTGACATTTTTTCCTCGATAACTCTGTTTTTTGCATAGCCCATTATAAATAATTTGGGACTCGGCCACATGACCAGCATCTAAAATTGCACTTCAGATTTCAATGAGAAAGTTCAAAGCCTAATAAGGGCAATTCGAGAGATCTAATTGGAACTAGTGCAGCTAATTTTGTCTTTTATGTGTCGTCATGGCACTCTTCTTCATCATACATTGACCGTTACCTGCTCGGAAGCACCTGCAATTGCCAGACCGCTTGCTGACATAGGCCACCAAGACAACAGCAACGCTGAGCTTCTACCGGATGGGTGCCACCCTTGCCACAAATTTTACCAGGACTTTGTTGTGCTATCCGAGACTGGTGTTGGAACATTGGAAGAAGCAACACGGAATCAGGCCTTTTCTCTACTATGGCACCTTG